AGGCTGGTTCCACATCATCATAGAGCCATATGAAGGGTTTTATTCACATTTTATATTTTGTTTTTTTAAAGCATACTTTTAAGCGGTTTCAACCATTTTTTTAACCTAAAAGTAACATAATACTATATAAACCTATGTGATATACTTATGCTATTAATATATATGTTTATATTTTGATATAAAACGCTTCTTTTTAGTTTCAAAATTGTGGCGAGCGCCTAAAAGTATGCCCCAAAATTTCTAAACAAAAATGTGGAAAGTCTTTTTTCATGTTCAGAATCATAATGATGTGAAAACTAGCCTTCTGCTTTTTTTGTTGTTGTAATTATTTTCATCTGTTGCCGATATTTCTGTTTGTGCTTTGCTTATTGGTTGTTGTTGATGTTCTTTATGATTTTTTTCTTTTTTTTTTGTTATTTATTTGTTTTTGTAAGGCACTCCTTAATATTTGAGAGATAGGATATTTTTTTGGATATTTCCAGAGAGAGCAACTATTGTCTTGATTGTTTCCTTTTGTTGTTTTGTTCTTGGAATAAATTCTTTATTTTACTTGCTATGGTCAATGATGGGGTGAGGGAGGTGAGAAGGATGGGTGGCGGCTATGGGTTCGCTTAATTGGATCACCCAAGTTTTTCATGTAAACTCAAAGAAAATTTAGGAAATATTTCAACATCCTCTGTAGCTATGGAGCAGGACTCGGAGGTAGATGATGGTGATGGGGTGCACTATAGCCTAAACGATATTCAAATTGATCACTATCTGTGGTGGAAGAACTCAGCGTGGAAGATGGGTGGTGGTCAGCAGCAGCAGCAGTGGCGGCAGCAGCTGCCCCATAAGCAGAATGGGCCGAATGTTGTTGGCGCCACAACATATCGTTCTGCTTAACCGTGGAAGCATGTATCTTTTCGGGCCATTGAAATTCGGTATTGTTTGTGGTATTGATGTTACTATTGGCTTCCGGATTATCATTAAAGGCCGAGGGTGGACTGCGCCCGGTCAAACGACTCACATCGAATTCTTGAAACACCGAAGAATTGCCAAGAACATTACGGGTATATGGTGTGGCCGTAGAAGAGGCCGATGATGAACCGGAACCAGAATTCTGTGTAACATTGGAAACCTGGAAGGTTTTTGGAGTTTTACTGTTTAAAATGGGTAAATTGAAACCCTTCTTTGTTGGTTTCTGGCCACCGAAATCGTACAACCTTTCCTCATAGGGATATGATTCTTCGTAGGGGTTACGATTGTAGGGACGTTGTTGTAGATTCGAGGCCCCCAGCCCCAAGGTGGGGTTGCGTGAAGAACTTCCTCCTCCTCCGCCGCCACCACCATAATTGTAGTGGGGTGCCGATTTAATACTGGCATTTGATCCATAGATTTTACTCTTTCTCCTATGGACATCATCCCGATCATCTTGAATGGATTCAGAAAAGACTTTCCTATTATACGCTTGTCGTCTTCTCCTTGGATACAGGCTACCCGAGCCGGATGTCCTCGACCTTATATCACATTCCGAACGGGCAATGCTGCGATCCATATCACTTTCTTCATCGGTACTCGAGGAGCTGGTGGCCACCTGGGGCATGGGATTGTAACTTAAACGCCTCAGAGTCCTGGCCCTTACCGAACGAGATTTATAGGATGAGGATTTCATTGGCCGCTGTTGCATATCCTGCGGATCCAATGATAATTGCTTTGTTTTATTGCTTCGTTTTTCTTTTCTGGCCGCAGCAGCTGCGGAATCACGATCCAGGTGATCGGTAAATGACATGGACCGGCGCCTGTGCTGCTCATGTTGCTGCTGCTGCATTTGTAGGCCATTATAATTATCAGAATTCTCTTCGATCCTTAACTGGTTGGGAGAATATATGGAAGTATTGCTTGATTTGTGCATGCCCGAACGGAAGGGGGATACCAAACTGTCATCACCGTATTTAAAGATTTCTGCCTTATAATTGGCATATCCGCCCCCACCACCACTGCCACCACTTCCGTTCCCTGCTCCACCACCACCACCACCGCTACTGCCCAACATACTGGGCGAGGGAAAACTCAAATCCTTGGGACTAAAATAACTATCCTGGGGACTATAGCTAGATTTTTGGCTACTACGGCGAGACAATGATATGGTATCTCTGGATGCAAATCCCGTATCTGGTGTACTTGATCTCTTGTCATGGGAACTTTGTTGTTGTTGCTGTTGCTGCTTATTACTATTGCCACTACTCATGTGATGGCCACCGCCTGCCTGCTGGGAACTCATCATTTGCAAATGCTTATCCAAATGATTGGTGGCGGCCTTGAAGTCAAACGTTGTGGTGGTCGTGTGCTTGCCATTTTGATAATTATAAACCGTGGCCGAATTTAGGCTACCCGTTGCACTACTTATCTCATCATCCAAAGATGAAACAATACTCGAAAATTGGTCGTTGAGTATGGTCTCATCCGAATCGTTCTTATCCACATCCGTGTAGGTGTGCATGAAATCTAAATTCAAAGCTTTCAGGGTATTTTCAATATCCAATAGATTTTCAGAAAGCGATTTCTTATCGCCCCCCTTTTGTCGGGGACTTTGTTCGTGGTGTTCATGGTGTTGGGCAAACGCATCCACATATTCTAGCGAGGGCGGTGGTGTGGGAGCCGTAAACGAACTACGACTACCAAATTGTAAAGGACGTGAAAGGATTTCACGTGATTTCTCAAAACAAAAATCGGAACTTTCCTTATCGAACAATGGAATGCGTATATCGCCCGTTGTCGTCTCAATGGTCGTGGTGTTCATGTCACTCGATATCGAGCGAAAACACTTGGTGTGGATGGCAAAAAAATTTCAATAATTTTCAATAACCAAAAAATGTAATTTCAAATATTTAAAAAAAAAAAAGAAAAATGTTTTAAAGAAATATATTAAATATTATTTACCATGAGGCAAATACACAACGAGAGAGCAAAAGTGAGAGAGAAAGAGAAGATAAAGTAAAGTTAGTTGGCTTGGTTATTAAACTAATATTTATATGGATATAATTTTGTCTAACTAAATGTCGTGTATGATATGGATTCGAGGCATATAATAATGGAAAATCCGTTATATAAGGGATACATAAATATTATGAATCTATAGAAGACGTTTGGAATATCAAAGGACCTTTTTTCCAAAACAAAAAAATGTGTGTAGGACTTCTATCAAATAAAAAAATAAAGTCGTATCACCAAAGAAGGCACAAAAGTTGTTCTATCTAGAAGAGATCCTCAGTATCACTAAGAATCTATTCGTTCCGAAAACCTGTGAAAATGTCTCACTGTCACTTTAAAAGTGTCTTTACACTGGTATTACTAAAATATTGGGCCCTTAAAAGCTCGGTCCTTAAATGGCTTAACTTGACTGATAATGCCCATTTCACCCCGATGACTACACCAACAAACAAAATTGTTGCATATAAGGCTCCAAAGAACCAAGATCTATTGTTTATAAGACTCTCTTACCCTACCTGAGAAATTTTTCTATACTCCACTGGAAGGGTCATTGGTCGATAATTTTGGAAAGTTGTTGTCCTTTGTTTTTCGTCACCGCGAAATTGCGATTTAACACCTTGACGCTCGTGAGTCTGTATAGAAATAGATGGGAGACACTTTGCGATGTGGCTATGTAAATATGTCATGAAAAAGAATTGGGTTACAAGATGCGAAATAGCATCTAAATCGAACGTTCCTTTTGCTTTCCTCTCTCGGAGAGAGAACCATTCGGTAAATATTGAAAAATGAGCGCGGGGTAAAGTCATTGAATTTCGAAAAGTGCAAGAACTTACACCGCAACAGAAAGAAAATATACTCAAAAGAGTTAACGAGTTGCTTCGCTTGGCCGAAAGTGGTGAAATGCCGAAATTGGTTTTCTCCGATGAGAAAATATTCGTTGTCCAGCAGTTTGTAAACAAACAAAATGATCGTGTTTACCAGCCAAAGAGGTCAGCTGAAAATGTGCACCTTCGGTTGGCCACTAGAATTCAAGCGCCTGAAATGGTGATGATGTTGGCCGCCATAACAGCCGATGGTCGCTCACCGCTCGTATTAATCGGCCATGGCATCAGCATAAATAATAAATAATATCGCGAAAATATCCTGGAGGGTGTATTAAAGCTTTGGGCACGCAAACATTTTGTCCGCATGCCTTGGACATTCCAACAGGACCCAACACGATCGCACTCAGCACGCGCCACCCAAGCATAGTTACAAAATGAGGTTCCTCGCATCATTTCCAGCACACAATGACCACCAAAATCTCCGGATACCAATCCGTTGGACTATTGTGTCTGGAGTACTTTGGAAAGCAAGGTTGGCAATAAAAAATACCAAAAAAATTCCGGGAGTGGCCCAAAATGGCCGTTTTAAGGCCATAATTCGTGCCAAAGATGACCAATTCGAACAAATCTAAACTTATTCTAAGATTTGATGCTATTTCCAACATTTTTTGTTTTCATTCAATAAAATTTAAAAAAAATGTACAAGTTATGGCGTTTAACTTTTTTGCAGTGTTTTTATATCACCCTGTATATTCTTTGCAGTCAAGGGGTGGGTATATATAGAAGGAGACATATAGACACATAGACCCACAGAAGGCGTAGAAATTGTTATATCTACAATGTTCTTGATGTAATGAACAAAGAGCATCTATAATGGTTCTTTATGCTGCGAAAAAAAGTTGTACTAACCAAGAAAAAAAAACTTTAGGTCTCCTACATAAGAGTGTCAAAGGTATTCTATATACGAGAATATATTTAAATGACTCAGAAATCTAGTGTCTATTGGAGACCAATAACAAAAATTTTATCTGTAAAAATATTCTCTTGAGAAATAAATATCGACTTGTGCCTTAAAAACACCTGCAAATTGTTTTCTATAACCTCGAATCCACATCTCACAGTCAATCCTTATCATACATAAAAATCCTCTGTTATGTATAAATAAATACATTAAATTCCCTTCAAAATCGTTAAGAAACTCACCTGCAAATCCGGTATGCTTTTCAATTCTTCGGTGAAGTTTTTCTTTTTCGAATGTGGTGACAAAGAGTTCATATTTGTTGTCGAACCACTGGTGCCGGAACTATGTAAACTGGAACCATGACTTTTGTCACCACTGCCGCTGCTGCCATGACCTCCGCTCAAATGGGGAAAACGAAAACTAAATTTTCTCTTGGGACTCTGGGTTGAGGGTGTTTGGTCCGATACCAAATCGCACATGGATCTGGAAAAAAGAAATATATGATTTAAAATGAATCAAAAATGACGTTAAGTTCAATGGGGCAGAACGTTCTATACACTCCAGCATATAAAAACTGAAATTTATGGCCAAATCAACTGTCCTACATTTCCCAAATTATGGAAGATTCGCGATTGACTAGACACAAAAAACAAAAATTCAAATATAAAATTGGTGTCGAAACCTTATGAAGACTAGAGCAAAACCCTGAAATAGTTGTAAATTGGGAGCAAAATCTCTTAAATATCGAAAATCTACAGGCACAGTTTTATGGGGGCTATGCCAAAAAATGGACCGGCACTGAATAATTTTTGCGAAATTTTAAGGTATCCCTGAATCTCCGAAATGAGTGAATGCATCCGATTTGGTTGGAAGTTGAAACCAGCTGAATGCTGGAAATCTGAGGGAACCGTTATATTTGGACTGTATTAATAAGTAGACCTTCTTTGAAATTAGTGAACGCAGTCGGTTTAGTTGGGAATTGGACCCACAATGAATATTTTTTGGAAGGAAATAAACCACTATGTTAAAACCCGAAATAGCAACCAAAAAAGCTGAATATCGAAGATCAGGAGGTACAGTCATATTGGGCTATGCGAAAAACTGGACCTACATTCAATAATTTTTGAAATAAGGATACCCAATGGGAATTAGACTACCCCATGAGAAATCAAAATATCAAATTATAGTCGATTTGGTTGGAAATTGGAGCAGAAACCTTCATATATTGAAAATTTGGATGTACCGTTGTATGGAGCTATATCTGGGGCTATATGAACCAATAGAGCCCATTTCAATATCAAACATCTTAGAAGTACTACAAACGTTTCCACCAAATTTCATTCCAATATCTTGGAAATTATAACCTCTTAATTTCACTTGATTTCAAGTTAGACGGTAGAACATGGTTTAATCGATTTAGAATTTTATGTTGATCTCGAAAATATTTATGGGGTCTCCTACTACAATTTCTAGATGTTGTAAACGGAACAACAAATGTATCTTTTGGTGGAATATATAATAACTTTTATAATTTCAATGCCAATTTTTAATCTTACCTGGCACTAATTTCATTGGCTATCTCAATTGCCTGGTTGAGAATTTTCTCATCCTTCACCGATATGGGCTTCACAGTGCCACTGGAATTTTTCGATTTCTTTGTGTTGTGGCCCCCACTGTTTTTACGTATCAACTTTGAGGTTAAATCGGAAAAATCACTACGTTTATTGCCATGCGATTCAGATTCCGAGTTTTTTGACGACGACGCAGTGGCACTCATTGAACCAAACATTGAATTGATTTCATCCAGCAGAGAGGGGCCAAAATCCAATTTATCTGGGGTAATTTCATCATCGGAAATTTCATGATATTCATGGGGTTCCTCGAATTGGACACCACTGCCACCACCTGCACCATTTGTAATGGACGAGTGGCGCCATAATAAATTCTCCTTTGCCGCCTCAATTCCATAGTTGTTGTTTTGCAAAGCCAGTGTGGAAGCCGAGGAGGTGGTACTTTCATCCATAGATTTGTGAGTAAATGGATTCGTGTTATTCGAGGGAAATTCAAATGTTGTAGTTTGTCCATTATTGGCAAATTGTTTGGGTGTATTCTCGGTGGAGGGTATAAACGAGGGATTCATGGTGGAGTTGTGATGAGACGAATCATCGGCAAAATAGCCACTTGCCGTTTGCAAGGAGTCAGGACTAGTTGGTGTGGGTGGCAGTAGCAAAGGCGTTTGTTCAATATCCTCCGAGGGTTTATAGGGTGTGACAATTTGTCGTGGCACGTGGTTATACTGGAGGTGAGAAGAAAATAAGCTTATTTAAAAAGCCTTGGCAAAGCAGATTGTACGACTTACATTTTGTGTGGTACCCAAAAAGGCAATATCACCAAAGGAAGCTCCGTCAATGCCAACATGGCCGGTATGTTTAAAATCATTTTGTGGCTTGGAAATCATTTCGGTGCGTAATTTACGTTTACTGCTACGTTCATTGGCATTTCGTGTAAAAGTATCTCTGCAAAAGAAATCAAATTATTTTTCCCCTCTCATTATTAGATGTGAATGAATTGTATTACCTATTCAAAGTGGGAAGACCTTCGACATAAGCCACCGTATTGGATGGATTAAAAAAGCCCGTTTTACCCGAATTCAGCACACCCTTCCAATAGGGTGTGCCTGTGTTGCGATCCAACACGGTTATAATCTCATTTTGTCGATAAATTAAATGCTCATTGGTTTTGGCCTCCATACAATTGGCCACGGCCTTTAATTGCTCGGGTTTCATATCGGGCAACAGCTCGTATATCTCCGAAAATTTAGGACGTTTTGAGGGATCATCTTGCCAGCATTTCATCATAAGGGTATAATATTCCCTGGGACAACATTCAGGTTGTTCCAGACGCTAAAAATCAAATTTCGATTAGAATTCAATTCCAATGAATTCACGATTGAAAGGGAAGAGTACCTGATAATTTGGTGCATCAATGGCCTCTAGGATTTGAAGGCCCGTCAAAGCTGCCCAGGGTTGAAAGCCATAGGAAAACATTTCCCACAAACAAACCCCAAAGGCCCAGACATCGGAGGCATTTGTAAAACGCAAATAATTAATACATTCCGGGGCACACCAAGCAATGGGCAGCTTTAGATTAACGTTAAAATTAGTCTTGTAATAGTCCTTGCCCACACCGAGGGCGCGAGATAGACCAAAGTCGGAGATCTTGACTTTATTTTTGCTGAATACCAAGATGTTGCGGGCAGCCAAGTCTCTGGAAAAGTAAGGGATGAAATGAATATCAAAGAAAGGGTTTGTTATTTTTCACCCTCACCTGTGTATCAGTCGTTTGTTCTCCAAATAACGCATACCATTACATATTTGCAAACCAAATTCACACAATGTTGGAACGGTGAGAAAACTTACTCTCAGTCCGGGATCTTTCAGGCATTCCAGCAATGATCTTAAATGTGCCAATTCGGTGACTAACATTAGGGAGTCTGTGGCCAACACCACACCATATAAACGCACAATATTTTCATGTTCAATGGAATGCATGATGGCCGCCTCTTTGAGAAATTCCATGGGATTTGATTGCATGCGTTCGCGGCACAGGCATTTGATGGCCACTTGAATCTGGAAGAAATCAAAAATATTTTGAATTTCGCTCGGTAATTTTTGATGGAGCAAGAAAAAATGGGAACAATGGAAAACCAGGAAAACCAAATAAAATTGCAGTTCTACTAAGCTAAATTTGGGATAAACCTTTACGACCCTATCAAGATAAATGTCAATATGTATCTAGCAAAGTCATGAACCACCCTAATTTTGTTTGGATTCAGAAAGGCTTTATGAGGAGAGAGGTTGATGCCTATAAATGGGCTTATGGGATTTGAAAGGAGTTTCTATAGACGATTTAAAATGAGTTTCTAAAGACGAACTGAGGGGAGTCTCTACAAATGGACCGAATGGAGTATCTGCAAACGGGCTTAGGAGGGATGGTCTCTACAAACAGGCTGATGAGTTTCTCCATACACGCGCTGATAGGAGTATCTATAGACGGTCTGATGGGAGTATCTATAGACGGACTGATGGGAGTCTCTATAGACGAGCTGAGTGGAGTCTCTATAAACGATATGAATGGAGTCTCTATGGACGAACTGAGGGGAGTCTCTACAGATGGGCTGAATGGAGTCTATGCAGACGAGCCGAAGCGAGTCTCTGCAGACAGGCTCAGGGGAGTCTCTAAAAATGGACTGAATGGAGTCTATGCAGACGAGCCGAAGCGAGTCTCTGCAGACGGGCTCAGGGGAGTCTCTACAAACAGGCTGATGGGATTCTCCATACACGGGGTGATAGGAGTATTAATAGACGGACTGATGGGAATCTCTATAGACGAACTGATTGGAGTCTCTATAAACTATATGAAAGGAGTCTCTATGGACGAACGGAGGAAAGTCTCTACAGATGGACTGAATGGAGTCTATGCAGACGGGCTGAAGGGAGTTTCCACCAATGGACTAAATGGAGTATCTGCAGACGGACTGAGGAGGGGTCACTATAAACAGGCTGATGGGTTTCTCTATACATGGGCTGATAAGTGTATCTATAGACGGGCTGTTGGGAATATCTATAAAGTGACTGATAGGAGTCTCTATAGAAGAACGATGTGAAAGGAGTCTCTATGGACGAACTGAGGGAAGTCTCTACAAATGGGCTGAATGGAGTATCTGTAAACGGGCTGAGGAGAGACTCTACAAACGGGCTGATGGGTTTCTCTATAGACAAGCTGAAAGGTGTCTCTGTGGACGAGCTGAGCGGAGTCTCTATAGACGAGCTGAGAGGAGTCTCTATAGACGAGCTGAGGGGAGTCTCTATAGACGAGCTGAGAGGAGTCTCTATAGACGAGCTGAGGGGAGTCTCTATAGACGAGCTGAGGGGAGTCTCTATAGACGAGCTGAGAGGAGTCTCTATAGACGAGCTGAGGGGAGTCTCTATAGACGAGCTGAGGGGAGTCTCTATAGACGAGCTGAGGGGAGTCTCTATAGACGAGCTGAGGGGAGTCTCTATAGACGAGCGGAGGGGAGTCTCTATAGACGAGCTGAGGGAAGTCTCTATAGACGAGCTGAGGGGAGTCTCTATAAACGGGCTGAGGGGAGTCTCTATAAACGGGCTGAGTGTAATTTCTAAAGACGGGTTACGGGGAGTCTATTTAGACGATTTAAAGGGAGTATATATAGACGAACTAAAGGGAGTCTTTATAGACAAACTGAATGGAGTCTTTATAGGCGAACTGAAGGGAGTTTTTATAGACGAACTGAAGGGAGTCTTTTTAAACAAACTGAAGGGGGTCTGTGTGGACCAACTGATGGCAGTCTTCAATGACGGGATGAAGGGGTCCTTTATAGGTGACATCAAGGGTGTCTTTATTAAGTTAAGTTGAATAAGATTTTCCTTACAATATCTACAATTCTGTTAAGATTAAGTTATTATTTATTTTTTTTTTTTTTCAAAACATTTAAAGGAAATTGACTTTTCACCGAATTTTAAATCAAAAAATTTCATTGACAAAAAATTACAATTGAAATCGCTTTGACATCTAAAAATCAAGCTCTAATTCTTATCTCTTCCACTTTCTGTAAATTGATTCTTTAGTTTCCTTTCAACAAAATGTACATCCCTCCCGCCCCACCACACCCCCTACAAAATGAAATTGACTTTCAAGGAAATGTTTGTTTGCTGGTTTGACGGAGGACATGATACTCTTAACATTAAGTTTCCTCCATTACGTTACTTACCCTCTCGGATCCATTCGTCCACACACCCTGCTGCACAATGCCAAACTCTCCGGTGCCCAATTGTTTGTTCACACTGATGGCATCGGCGGGAATGATGTGCTTATTGTTCGGTGCCTTATTCGGTGAACCGCTGCTTGCCTTCGACGATGCTCCGCCCGTCGATGCGCCACTCAGGCTGCCCGAAGGACTGGCCATGGTGGCGTTCACCGTACAACCGGAATTCTCATCTCGCTTGCCGCCAATCACTGTGGGTGCCTGCAGCAAACGTTTGATTTTGCTCAAGTAGCCGTGTGGAAAGTGTTTTTCATAGAATTTACGTAAACGTCGTATTTCCGGTCGTGACATGCCGATGCTTTTGAGATCTTCGTCGGTAGCATATTTGAATTGTGAGGCATTTGTAATCTTGAGTTCATCTCTGCAAAAGAAACAAAAAAAGCACAGTAAAATGAAAAGAAATTCAATGGAAGAAAGCAATCAAACAACGAAAGAAAAAAGGTAAAGAATCTCAATGCAAATATGTGTGTACGTATGTAATGGGAATGCTTTGTAACAACAAACAAGAACAGCGCCAATGGAACACAATATAAACAAGAGATCAAGAAGCTCCAGCTAAAATTAAATAAAGAAAAATGCATACAATTTCGGAAGAAAAGAGATGCACCAGGACAGTATTTGGTCAAGAAAAGTTGGCTTGAATTTGGGAAAGATCAAAGGGGTTCGAAGCCCTCTAAGGAAGCATTAATCGACAATAAGAGGAAAATTAAAGGACAATATATATGAACTGCAGGGAGTAGTAGCTCATTTACGAAAAGTGTCCATTAGCGAGGTTATTAGAATCTCTATAAGTTTGCGCGTAAAAGGGAGTTTTATATATGAGATTATTTATTTATTTTTTTTTGAGCCAAAGGGAGGAGCTGAAGGCCTATAGACGAACTGAAGGGAATCTCAATAGACGAATCAGCCGGAGTCTTCAGAGACGAGTATGACGCAGTCTTCAGAGACGAGTGGGCCGGAGTCTTCAGAGACGAGTGAGACGAGGTCCTTATAGATGAGTCGGATGGAGTCTTCTAAGACGAGTGGGACGGAGTCGAACTTGTCTTTATAGACGAGTCGGGCAGATTCTTTGTAGTCGAGTCGGACGGAGTCTCTTTAGACACGTCGGACGGGGTCCCTATTGACGATGCTGACGAAGTATTTATAGAAGAGTTGGACGAAGTATTTATAGACGAGTTGGACGTAGTCATTATAGACGAGTTGGACGTAGTCTTTATATACGAGACGGACAAAGTCTTTATAGACAAATCGGACAAAGTCTTTATAGGCAATTCGGACGGGGTCTCTATAGACGATTCGGACGAAGTATTAATAGACGGAGTCTTTTTAGGCGAGTCGGACGGGGTATTTATAGACTAGATAGAGCCTCTTTAAGCTGAATGGAGTCTCTAGAGATGAGGGACGGAGCCTTCTGAGACGATTCGGACGAAGTATTTAAAGGCGAGTTGGACGAAGTATTTATAGACGAGTTGGACGTAGTCTTTATATACGAGACGGACAAAGTCTTTATAGACAAATCGGACAAAGTCTTTATAGGCAAGTCGGACGGGGTCTCTATAGACGATTCGGACGAAGTATTTATGGACGAGTCGGACGAACTATTTATAGACGGAGTCTTTGTAGACTAGATAGATTCTCTTTAAGCTGAATGGAGTCCCTAGAGATGAGCAGATAGGAGTATATAATAAATGATCTGTAGGGAGTCTTCATAGAAGAGCTGACGGAAGTTTCTGCAGAACATATATATGACCGGAGGAAAGCCTTTTCAGATGAGCCCAAGGGATTTATTATAGTTCTTTAAGATGATCTGAAGGAAGATCTTTGTATGATGTTTTATAGACGACGTAAAAAACTCTTTGCAAAATCTCGAGAGAGTCCCTTCCAGTTGCCCAAACAGAAATTTTGTAAAAGAACCGAGAAGAAAACTTCAGCCAAATTGATTTTTCATAGAAAATCTGAAATTCGACAAAACTAAATAGGATTTTTATACCCTCAGCCATAGGGCAAGAGAGGGTATATATCATTTGATACGGTCAAAACGTGCCTAGACTAAATAACGGTTTTAGACCCTAGGTCTTTTTGGTCTAAATCCATTTTAGGACATTTGGAGTCAATCTAGCGACTCTCAAAGGGAGTATCCGAACATGGCCCAAATTTGGTACATCGTATTATTGTCAAACTTACATCGAGTTCGGAGATGGGCAATGTCGGTCCACTCCTCCTGGTACCTCCCCTCCCAAGGGGTCAAAATTTTGAATAATTATGAGGGTATACATCTGCCGTCTGATAGTTTTTAACTTGTTTTATCCAATATCAAACCACTAAGATTTTATGAAGAAAATCTGAATTTCAACACATTTTTTAATGACATATTCCACTTAAAGTCTATACTTTATCCATGCAAGCTACATAATGTCCTGCCTCGATACTGTTTCCAGATTAAAAAAAGAAAAAATAAATAACAACGCAAGTCAAATGTTGCCTTTATACGCAGCACACATTGCCATTGCACTCAGAAGAGTTCACTCTGGAGCTTTCTGATCCATTGTGTTGCCTGCCCATTATGTGAAATTGTCGTTCAGTGATATGGTGTTGGCGACGAAGATGTTGAGGGGGTGTGTGTGTATGTTTGTGGTGGGATGAATTTGTTTGATTTGATTGCTTGTTTGCATTGCATGTTTGGGTGTTGTTGTTGTTGCTGTTCTGTTTTTGGATATTGTGGCACTAAAATGTCTAACGGATGCACCGCCACATGGCTTTGGCTGGAATGCGTAAAATATGTGGGTGACTAAAATGTCTCTCTAATCGATACAATTGTCGTTCCCACTCCACCTACAGCTTGGCTTTTTTTAGCTATCCTTCTTTTTGTTGTTGCTGTTGGTTTTTGTGTTGTTGCTGTTGTACGATATTCTGTTATTGTCATACTTACTTGACAGCATTGTAGTAATGTTGCAATTCGGCCTCTGTTAGAAATTCATAGACATCAATTTGGGGGCTATCTGCAAGGAAACGAAGAGAGAGAGGGAGAGAGAAAAATAAAATGAAATCAATATGCAAATTCTAAAATATTTCAAATGTTTAAAAAAGAAATCTAAAAGATACAGGTTTCAGGCGTTATGACCGAACATGCTATGTACTAAGAAAAGATTTATTTTAACTGAATAAGATTTTGTTTTGACTGAATACGATGAGGGAGTCTTTAGAGGCGAGCTGAAGGGAATCTTCAAAGGAGAGCTGAATGGAATCTTTATAGACGAAGGAAATCTTTCCTAGACGAGCTAAAATAAGTTTCTCCTAGACGCGCTGAAGTGAGTCCGCCTCAGGCGAGCTGAAGGGAGTCTCTCTTTGATGAGCTAGAGGGAGTCTTTAGAGACGAGCTGATGGGAGTCTCTCTCAGACGAGCTGAAGTGAGTCTCTCTTAGACGAGCTGAAGGGAGTCTTTATAGACGATCTGAAGAGATTCTCTCCTTGACGAGGTGAAAGGAGTCTTTATAGACGAGCTGAAGATATTCTCTCCTAGACGAGCTGAAGGGAGTCTCTCCTAGAGATTTAAAGGAAGTTTCTCCCAGACGAGTTTAAGGGAATCTCTAACAGATGAGCTGAAGGGAATCTCTCCTAGACGAGCTGAATGGAGTCTTAACAAACGAGCTGAAGGAATTCTCTCCTAGACGAGTTGAAGGGAATATCTCCTAGAGAGCTTAAGGGAGTCTCTCCTAGATGAGCTGAAGGAAATCTTTGAGGAGAGGTGAAAGTAGTCTTTATAGACGAGTGAAAGAGATTCTCTCCTAGATGAGCTTAAGGCATCCTTTCCTAAAAGAAGAAAAAGGAGCCTCTCCTACACGAGCTAAAGGGATTTTTTAGACTAACTGAATGGAAATTGTATAGATGAGCTGAAAGGAGACTATCATAGAACTGAGAGAGACTCACTTCACCTAAAAGGAAATCTCTCACAGACGAGCTGAAGAGAGTCCCTTATAAAAGAGCAGAATAGAGTCTCTTTTAGGCGAGCCGGCCTGAAGTGAGTCTCTCTTAAATGAGTCGATCTTATAACTTCTGTTATATACGTGAAAAAGACCGATTAACAATGAATATCGTCTTCCTGTCAAATCTGCGATTCATGCAACCTGAATAACATCTTCCATAGCTTGTCAAGATTTTCCACAATAAATCTGCATTTCTACTTCCGCAATGTTCTGGAAAATTCTTTTTCCAAACTTTCCATTTCCATTCTCCATTGTTGCAACCAACGTAGGGTACTCAACCAAAAGACATTGAACATAAACTCAATGAACATTGAAATGGTGGAAAGACAGACAGACAGACAACGGCAGCCGGCAGACAACATGCTGAGCATTTTCATTTCATTTACATTTTCGAGGGCAAATCTAATAAAAACAAACAACGACGACAACGGATGACAGCGGCAGTTCCAACTAACCAATCTACGAACAAAAAACAAACAATCTAACAACCTACCAGCCAACCAACCATCGACAAAATAACCGACAACAATGACAACATTGATGGCGGCGCTACATGACATGGTTGAATGCTCAGTCACCAACCAACCAGCGAACCAATGAACCAAACAATCGGTAACAGCAGCAGCAACATAATGTCACAACTCTTTGCAATCAATGGATTGAATGACGGACGGACTGGCTGACAAAATGAATGAATGAATGGCTGAACCAAACGGATGAAGAATGTTCAGAGAGAAAGATGTGGGTTAGACCAAGAATGTTGCTGCAAAGTTGTTTATAAAATCCGACCCTCATCTATTGGATATCGCTTTGCCGTTGTTTTTGTTGTTGATGGTGTTATTGAAACTGTTGCACTTACCAAATAAGTAAAATGACATAGAAAAGTGTGTGTGTGTGTGCGTGCTGGTTGTGCCAGAGTTTGAGGAGCCCAGCGTGTGAGTTGAGTGGAAAGAGAGAACAGAGATTTTTCTGAAGGTTATTACAAAATACTTTGGGTGTTAAAACACCCAAACAAACAAAATGTCTTTATTTGAGGTATTGGTTAAGTGTCAGGCGGAGAGGGGGGGGTTAATTTTCATCAAGTATGTAATTATCTATGGCGGCATAGGAATGGTACCCGGAAGGAAAATGTTTATTTACAATGTAAATGGAAGAGCCTCTCAAAAGTGATTAACATCTGTGTGATTGATTTTTCAAAATTAGGGCACATGGCAAACCGAGGAGAAGAATTGAGGTTTATAATTTTAAGAAAATTGGTCTAAATTCTAACGGATCTCTTACAAACATCAAAGATACTTGAAGCTTAGTTCATTTTAGGCTTGTTTAAGGTCTTCTACAGATGAAAACTTAGCAGAAGGGCTGAAATGGCTTCTCAAGAAGTTAAAAAGTAGCAGTCGGTTTGTCCTCAGATTTTTTTTTAAATCGTGGATTTGTTTAGATTTTTTTCTTACAAAATAGTTACATTTTTTTTAAATAAATAATTCCGATAAAAATTCAGCTGCGAAAATTATTCTAATACCCAAAATCGAAGGGTACAGTCATATAGGGTTACACGAAAACTTGGAACTGTAAAAGGAAATATCTGCTAGAGATCACCATATCTTTCCCTAAAAATATTTATTGCGACCTCATAATAATCCTGTCAAAAAAAGGAAAATCGGAAAAATACTGAATGTCAGAAGATAACATTATATGAGGGGACTTACAAGTGACCGCTACTTGGTCAGTTAAGTTTACGAGGAGGATAAAAGTAAAGCCATTTCACAATGGACCCACATTAAATTTTTCTGTCCAAAAATATTTCAACGTGTCCATACGAAAACCATGGGAACCAACAGTGACCTCAATAATAAATTTCAGCTCTATTTCTCCTTCGCCCGATACGAAATTTAGTAACATTTTGTACACATGTTCTAAAACAATCACTAGATAACAACACTGATCCAAAATTAGTATCAATTAGTACTTTTCGAACAATTATAGTACGCTTTTGCAAAACCACAAGTTGTCAGCAAAGACCTAAATATCTAATTTCGGGATTTAAGCTCTATTCCTTCAGCAAGTACCAAATATCGTACTTTTTGTACAATTATCGTACACATTTCCAAAAACAACCTTCATGTTATTCAATCGCAGTTACCAACAGTGATGTCAATATTAAATTTTTAGGAATCCAGTTCTATCCATTCACCCAATACCCTGTAAGCATTTCCAAACCAACCATCCATTCTTAACCACAGACACAATCTCGGTGATATCCACATAACATTTCAGAATTCAAGCTCTACTACTTCACCCAATATCAAATTTAGTACTATTTAGTACCTTTCGTACGATTATAGTAGTAAGTTATTAAAAAAAAAGTTCCCAAAACCACCTTTATATCTCAATTCCGGATAACAACAGAAACCTCAATATAAAACTTTGGGATTTCAACCCAATCTCTTCAGGCAAAACTCAATTTAGTACCACTTAGTATTTTTCGAAAAATTATAGTACACATTTTTAATACCACTCCATATCATAACCACAGACACCAACAGGGTCGTCTATATCAAATGTCAGGATTTCAGCTCTATTCCTTCAGCCAGTACCAAATTTAGCACTTTTCGTTAAATTATAGTACACATTTGCAAAACCATCTCCATATCTCAATTTCAGATACAAACACAGACCTAAATATAAATTTTTAGTATTCCAGTCCCATATCGCTTCAACCAATACAGATTTAGTTTAGCACCATTCGTACCTACGTACGAATTTCTAAAACCACTCTGTCCCCAGTCACCAAAAGTGGCGTGTATATCAAATTTCAGGTTCTCAGCTCTATTTCCAAAACCACCTCCATATATCAATTCCAGCAGCCAACTGTGACATCTATATCGAATTTTAGAATTTTATCGTTATCCATTCACCCAATACCAAATTTAGTACAATTGTGTAGTTTTCGTTCGAATATAGGACGCATTTCCAAAACCTCGCCAAATCCAAACACAGATGTCATAAGAAATATATTTGTCAAATATTAGGATTTTAGCTATACAGCGTGAGATTAAAAAACTGCAATCAACCTCCTCAGACTGCTGTCATTTCGAAGCCACTCGTCCGACAGCTATTAAAATTATTCCAGTGACTGCTCATTATATTGTTTACAATCGTACAAAGCATTTTGGTGAGAATTTTCCAGAAAAAAAGTTATTTGTGATGGAATTCTAGCGTGACAGTGTGATTTCTTTATATTTGGCTGGAAAACCACAATTGGCTATCGTTACAGCACTCCAGCATTTAAATGTGAATAAATCTTTTGCGTCTCATAGCATTGCTCGTTACCGTGATACTGGTAGCGTAGCCCGACGTCAAGGAAGTGGACGGAAGAAAACAGCAACATCAGCTGAAATGGTTCGAAAACCCATTAATCGAAACCCGTGTAGCTTTGGCCGAAAAATGGCTCGTGAGCTGAACATATCGCAATATTCCATTCTGCAAATATTGAAAAATGAGCTCGGGGTAAAGCCACTGAAATTCCAAAAAGTGCTGGAACTTACACCGCAACAGAAAGAAAATAGACTCAAAAGAGCTAAAGAGTTGCTTCGCTGAGAGTGGTGAACTGCCGAATTTGCTTTATTGCGATAAGAAAACATTCGTTGTCCAGCAGTTTGTAAACAAACAAAATGGTCGTGTTTACTTGCCAAAGAGGTCGGATGAAAATGTGCAACTTCGGCTGGCCACCAGAACTCAAGCGCCGGCCATGGTAATGGTGTGGGAAGCCATAACAGCCAAATAATATCTGAAGGGTGTATTATAGCCTTGGACACGCAAACATTTTGGCCACAGACCTTGGGCATTCCCACAGGACTCAGCACCATGGCAATCAGCACGCGCCACCCAAGAATGTTTAGAAAAAGAGGTTACTCGCTTCATTTCCAGCGCACAACGGCCATCAAAATCTACGGTTGGACCATTGTGTCTGAGGTATTTTGGAAAGCAAGGTTGGCACTAAAAAATACCAAACTGTC